TATTTAGAAAAAAATCCTCCCTTACATCTCTCGTATTGTCTTTGATAGGATCATCAGTCAAAATTGAGGGAGAACTCACTCACCACTGATTTTTTAAAGAGACTGAAATACTTTTATGTATAGTTTTATATATAGTTTAGAATTCCAGTTAATAACAGGATAAAAACCCAAGAGAAACTTCTTTAGAAAGACCAAAAAAAAAAACAAATAAAACAGAGAACAAGATCAAAGTACATTCACCGCAAAATCAGTTGACTATTTTCACCATTTTTTTTAAATTAAACAAAAACGGCAAACAAGGACACAAGTTTTTTTGTTGATTATGAAAGATGACATTCCATACTAAAATACAAAATTAAAAGTTTTAAGACCTTCTCGATATTATTTTTTTAAAACTCCACATACTTTTCGGATATGGTGAAAATATGGTAATATTTTAAATTAATTTTTAAAATATTTTTACATCATTATTTTTAAAACTTTTTTATTCTAAAACACTGATAACTACCTGTATTCGATGTTTCAATTTTAAAATAATAACTTTTGATGAAAAAAAACTAAATTATTGCACTTCTCAAAAAACCAAAGACAAATTTTTTCCTTCTTGCGAAAAAGTGAAATATTTCTTAACTTTGCCACAGTGTAATTAAAAAACTAATCAACGTATGACTTTGTAATTTTCGGTACTGAAGTAGAATTTAGTGTTCTATAATAGTTTAAAAACATTTATTCCAAAAGACGAATTTCATTTTTCAATTAATCTCCGTGTTTTGTGATTTAACCCCTCTGTGCGACGTATCACATACTACTAGTTAAACCTATAAAAAGTGAACATTTTTCCTACACTCTCTAGCATCATCATCGGTTTAACTTTTCGAAATCGAATTTGAAATATAACGCCCTAACACTCGAAGAAAAAGAACTCGATTTGAAAATATGACCGATACTCTTGCAATAAATAAAATCATGGGTATCATTATATAATTGATGTACCAAATGCGTCAACTTGAAAAAAAAGTCCGTAGAAAAATTGAGGAATTTTTTGGGAACATAAATGCAAATTTTTGACATACAGTGTAAATAGACATTACTTTTCTTTGCCGAATTATAGAAAACTTTGATGAAGAATATTTTTGTCTTTGACGTCATCGTTTCATGACAAATATTTTTACAGAATATTTTGACTTGCTACGATCCCGTTTAAAGAACATTTTTAAACCAATTTTAAAGAAAGGACCAAAAAGACCCCGATACATTCTTCGAATTTTTATCTGCAATGTTACCGAAGCCACTATATACATAAAATTCACGGATATTGGAATAGGAATCTTAATCCGTGAATTTTATGTGTATAGTGTCTTAGGCAATATTGCTTATAAAAATTCGTTCTGTTTCAAATAAACTGCTGGATTTTTAAGATGATATTCATATTTGAATTCAAATTATGTAAAGAATAATGGATTTAGTTCTATAAACATTTTACACTATGGTGAAAATGTTGTGCATAACGGACACATTTTTGGAAATCGTTGATGGTAACAACGTTATAATAACAATTCCATTACGGCTAACACCCCTTTGTATATTTCTTCTCGAATGTCTTCAGATATCAAGTGACGGGACACACACTTGGGTCTGCCACGTATTTCACCTAACCTGTTTAAAAAGACAATAAATATCTGAGCTCTATCCATAAGAAGTGCCGACCGAGAACATATACAGGATGAGATGAAAAAACTGGCAGCTGTTAAAATTTTTCGAGTGACAGCTCATTATATTGTTTACAAGCGTACATTTTGGTGAGAATTTTCCAGAAAAAAGTTATTCGTGATGGAATTCAAGCGTGATTTCTTTATAATTGGCGGGAAAATCATAAGTGGCTATCGTTTGAGCTCTCCAGCATTTAAATGTGAATAAATTTTTTTGTGCATCGTGTCATCGCTCGTTACTGTGATACTGGTAGCCCGACGTTAAGGAAGTGGACGGAAGAAAACAGCAACATCAGCAGAAATGGTTCGAAAAGTAAAGGAGCGACTCGGCTTCGCAGTGGCCGAAAAATGGTTCGTGAGCTGAACATATCGCAATATTCCATTCAGCAAATATTGAAAAATTAGCTCGGGGTAAAGCCATTAAAATTCCAAAAAGTGCAAGAACTTACGCCGCAACGGAAAGAAAATAGACTCAAAAGAGCTAAAGAGTTGCTTCGCTTGACCGAAAATGGTGAACTGCCGAATTTGGTTTTCTCCGATGAGAAAACATTCGTTGTCCAGCAGTTTGTAAACAAACAAATTGATCGTGTTTACTTTCCAAAGAGGTCAGCTGAAAATGTGCACCTTCGGTTGGCCACCAGAACCCAAGCGCCGGCCATGGTGATGGTGTGGGCCGCCATAAAAGCTAATGGACGCTCTCCGCTCGTATTAATCGACCGTGGCATCAGAATAAATGTATTAAAGCCTTGGGCACGCAAACATTTTGGCCGCAGACCTTGGACACTCCAACAGGACTCAGCACCATCGCACTAAGAACGTGTCACCCAAGAATGGTTACAAAATGAGGTTCCTCGCTTCATTTCCAGCGCACAATGGCCATCAAAATCTCCGGATACCAATCCGTTGGACTATTGTGTCTGGAGTATTTTGGAAAGCAAGATTGACACTAAAAATACCTAAGTGTCGACCACCTCAAGCAAGCGCTTCGCCGGGAATGGGCCAAAATACCGCAGGGCAGCATTCGGGCAGCGTGTGACGGTTTCATTGGCCGTTTGAAGGCCATAATTCATGCCAAAGGAGGCCAATACGAACAAATCTAAACTTATTCTAAAATTTGATGCTATTTCCGACGTTTTTTTTTTCAATAAAATTAAAAAAAATGAAAATCTCTCCCTAATAATGTTTATCTCACCCTGTACATTCTGTTGCTCTCAAGCATAAATTTCGTTATTCAAAAGAATTAGATTTATCCGATCTCCATCTAAGGGCGAAATTTGCAAAAATTACCCATAAATATTGGTAATCCGCATGAAAATCGCAAAAAGAATGTAATTATTTAAAATTTAATCAAATCCCCTTCAACACAATTCTTAAATACATACGCCCCTGAGCTGGTTTTCGTTTCGATATAATTATTAAGCAAATACATATGTGTTTTGATGCTTTTCTTGACGAAAGTCAAAACATTTAAGTAAAAAAAAAATCGGAAGATTAAGAAAATCAGAACAGAGGCATTATTGGGTGTCATTTTTTTTAATTATAAAAATTGGTAAATAAAAACCTAAATAATTTTTGTGTTCAGAAAAAAGTATATATTTGAATTTTCTAGTTTCATACTTTTTTTATTTTTTTATTATTATTATATAATTACAAAAAAATTAATTTAACTACATATGTATACGATAGTGACTAGGCGAAGAAAATAACTCTTCAAAAATGTTTATATAAATATTTGCTTAATATTTTTTGCATGTTTGCTTTAAATTACGCTAAAGAAGTAGCATATTATTTATAAATATTTTTAACTACAGTGGTTGTTTGTTTCATTCAACATTTTTTTTTTGTTTTCTGTTTTTAGTTTCTTAGGATTTTTGTTACATTATTTCATTTTTTTTTATTTTTAATAGATTACATATTTCTATAATATTTTGCTAAAAAATCTTACAAGTATGCATATGTAAACATTAATGTGGACAATGATTTTTTTAAGCGTTAGTAACTAAATTTTTTTGTTTAGTTTTCTGGTTTTATATCGTTTTTTTTTTATTGATTTTCATTTGTTTTGTTATTAATCTTTCATTGAGTAGGGAGAATAGCTAGCTATGTATGCATGTATGTGAGGTGTAAGTATAGTTTGGATACGAGAATTAGGAGAGTACTGAAAAGGATGTGGTGTACTGCTGTTCAAGATAGTTTTAATAATTTTAAAATTCCATATATATTTGCTTTATTTTATATTATTTAGGATATACATACAGCGAGTTCTATTTTTGTGGATTTTTATATTATTTTTTAATTATTTTTGTGTTTTTAGTATTTTTTATTGCATAGGGATTTGAAGTTTGTTTTTCTTCTGTTTTTTTTTTCTCTCATTTTTCCAATAGGTTTCAGTGTAGGCTGGAAATAATGACCATCACAACCAAACCTTTATTCACATAAATATGTTAATACGTGTCTTAGAAGTGAGACCAAAGGATGCATACTTTTTGTCATAACAAACAAAAAAATAATTCAAGTTTTACATTTGCCAATGCCAAATAAATATTTGAAAACTGAACCACAGCCAATGCCGATTTAAATTTTCAATTATTCATAACTTTAAAAAGGGGCTTGTAGTGAACTTTAAAATAACATTTTAAACAAAAGTTAGTTTAAAACGTTATTAGAACTTGTTTTACCAGATTTTCCCAGGTTAAGACTCGTAATATTAAAAAAAAATACAAATTAAACGACCGAATCTTGGCTGAAATAATGTTCAAATATTTTTCACCATTGAGCATAAATGTATTTGAGAACTTGAACTTGAATTTTATGCAGAAAAAATACATTTAACCAAAGATAGTAAATAAATATACACATATCTAAATTCAATTGTGAAATACTGTAGTTTTTCTTTACAAAAGAGAAAACAAAATATTTTTTTCCGAAAATTCCCTTTTAACTGATGTTTGTTATCATATCATTTATTCGATTTTAAATTATAAATATAAGACAACAAACAAAATTCCAAGTACACATAGAAAAACAGAAAATAAATAAATAAATATACAAAAAAAAAAAAAATAATTAGTAAATAAAATAAAACAAATATTTTCTTCTATACATTAAAGTAAAATTAAAAGGAATATTACAAATTCACTTGCATATATCTCCACAATGTTATTAAAAAGTAGGTTTGTGTCTCTCATAGAAGTATTCTTCAAAGTCCCTTACTGGTCTTTCTTATTATCCTCTTACTAACCATTAACATCCACAATAAGCGCTAGAAAGACATTGATGGATTAATTGTTCTTTTATTTTCTTTTCTATATGTTTTCATTTTTAATATGTTTTTATGTAACTAAAGCCTTTTATTCTCTAAAAATAAAAATTATAATATATTTATTCCACACATCACAGCCATGTATAAAGAGATAAGGGGGATAGAGTAGGGGCGGGGCAAAGATAGGTATTATTAAAGGGAGGACAGATGTTTGATAAAGTGTAAAAGAAAACAAATAAAAAACAAAGCAAATGGTCGTGAACTATTTAAAAAAAAAAAATAAAACAAAAACACAAAAGTTATTCAATTTATAGTTTTCTTATATAAATTGTTTTTCATTGTCTCATTTAATTGCTGTTGTATAGAACACTTTTCGGGATTTCCTTCACCCAGATTAAAAAGCGATGCCAACACCCCTTCTGTATTGCCATTGCCACCACCAACACCACAACTACCATTATTATCAAAATCATCATGATCATTGTTGTCTTCATCATTATAATTATTGCCATCATTATCGCCATTATCATCATTAATATTTTCAGTCTCTATAGAGTTTTTTGTTACAACATTTGATGTTTCACTAGTAATACTGCCACTGTCCGATTCCGGATTATCCATTATTTGAGTAGTAGTTGAAGACGACGACGACGACGACAAGGAGGCGGAGGAGGAGTTCAAAGATTTCAATTTATTGTGAACATTTTGTTGATTTTGTCTTAGATTGGCTAAGAATTTCTCTTTGAATGTATTAGCCGAATACTTGTGTTCTATAAATGTGGGAGATATTGCAGGTGGTTGTGGTTGCTGTAAAGTCGTTAATGGACCACTTGAAGCCGAGCTACTAAATGGCAATAGGGTTGCCGTTTGCATTGGTGGAGCTGTTGCTGCATAAAAACAATTGGCATTATTGTTGACACCAACGATACATCCTCCACCCCCACCACCGCCGCCATTGATGCCAACACCATTGCCACTGCCACCACCGGCGCCTTTACCACTACCATGGCTAGCAACTGCTGTTGTAGCCCCACGCTGATGTTGCTGCATGGCAGTGGCTAATAATTGTCCACTAAAAGAAAAGGAGGTGGAGAAGGACTCTGCAATAATGAAACAGAAAAAAAGAAAAAAATAAACCACAAAAGCCAACTAAATAGTATTCAAAAAAAAAAAAAAAAGAAAATAGAAATATTGTCTTGTTTTTGATTGTACAAGAATTAAAACGAAAAAAAAAGCAACAAGGGGTGAAAATCAAATATTTGTGATGTGTTGTGAAAATCTGGTATTTTTACTTAATGTGAAGTTTTTGTTTTCAATTTGTAAAAGATATGAATGTACATATTTAAAATATTGGGATAAAAAAAGTTTCAAAATATTTTCCGTGCTTTTGTCCGACGGTAAATTATGAAAAGTTTTCATTTGAGCTAAAGATTATCAAAGTTGTTATTCCCACCCTTTAGCCCCAAAAACACCAGCCATCTATTGGCTATTTCTAATCAAAATTTCAAAATTTCTAGCTAGTTGTGTACAGAAGACTGCATCAGACCCGTACTCGATTTAAAGCGTATGCTAAAAATTCAAGTGCCTTAAAATTGCTCTAGTTTTCTAATTTAAAATACATAAAAACAAGTAAAAAAGTATCGGTCGGTTTTGCCGACAGATGTATACCCTAACCAATGTTCGATTATTTAAAAATATTTTGACTTTGTTACGATTATTCAAGCTCTTGACCATCTATGGATTGGGTTTTGAAAGAATGGGCCAATATTGTCCATTTCGTATCGGACCTAAATAAATATGATATAAATATTGCGTCGTGCCAGGTTTGACTTTACATGAGATATGTGATTATTTTTAAAAAATGTTAAAATGTGCGTGAGCTACAAGATATAGTCGACCGAAGTATTCCATTTTCCTGCTTCGTCTGATACAAATAAAAATATTGGTATGGTCAAAATTATAAGAAAATCGAACATGTATATCCAAATTATGGGAAATCATATATTCCATATCCATCTCAGGATTCTGATCGAGAGACATATATTTAAATATAGCAAGTCGTGAGGAATCACAGAGTTGTTTCGCAATTTATGACAGATAAAAGTAATGAAAATTGTGACTCTTTGTGGGTGAGGTACCAGAAGGGGTTCGGAGATATAAAGCATCTTTACAACAGATCTTGTGCTAGCAAAAATATATGTATGTGTGAAATTTTAGGAGAGTTGGATTCTTAAGGATTCTTATAGGAGTTGTAATTATTGAAAATTGTAGCAATTTGTGGGGAGGTCCATTTTCCACATGACCTAGCACTGAAGCAAATATTAGGATTTGCAAAGTTGGACCAAAATCGGATTATCCTTTCCCTTTCTGTGCAAAAAATATATTTTTTGAAACTTTCGACTTTTTGTGTGTGAGGTGCCAGAAGGAGTGAACCGATATTGCCCATCTCCGAGCTCGATTTAAGTTTGACAAAAATATTACGATGTACCAAGTTTGGAACAAATTAGATACTTCCTTTGAAAGTTATTGTGCGCACCAGACAGACAAACGGACGGACATCGCTAGATCGACTCCAAATGTTCTGAAACGGATTTGGTGCAAAAGGACCTAGGGTCTAAAACCGTTATTTCGACTAGGCACGTTTTGACAGTATCAAATGATATAACCCTCTCTAGCCATATGGCTGAGGGTATAAAAAACGAGGATGAATTATGAATCTGAAGTCATGTATGACCAACAGCAAGAAACGTCCTCCCTGCGTTCAATTCCGTCTAAATGAAAGGAAAACTGATGAATAACAGGCTACAGGATTCAGAATTTTATAGACGATCAGTTTTACAAAATAACTAAGGCGAAAACAACTGCTCGATACTTTTTGAAGAATTGAATGAAGGAATTAGAGTTAGAAGATTTCAGTTTTTCACATCATAACTTAATTTTAAATTTAAAGAATTTGCATTTGAAGTGCCATCAGCAAAAGTTGATTATCTAGTTACTATCAAAGGAAGAACATTTTAAATATGTATATCATTAACAAATTGCCTATCGCAATTCTAGCAACATTCTTATAAAACAAATAATAGAAATTTGTTGCATACAAATTTCACCAATTCGAAATATTTAAAAAACTTTTTAAATTACAAAATGTATTCAAATTTATGTACAATCCTTTTAACGAACCATCTAATCGATGTTTTTGTTAAAAATAAAAAAGCGTTTCGAGCATAAATAACTTATATATGGGATCATTGTGGAGATTTTTGCAAGTTAATTCGTTTTTATGTACTTATTTTGAAGAACAAAAAAATATACAAATTATTGCACTACGTTGTTTTTAATAGATAAAAAGAATGTCTAATTACTTCTTAAAATTTATTTATAAATTAAATTTATTAAAGAATGTTGTTGCTACTTTTTAAAAAAGAAATAATACTTTAGGTGTTTTTTCTTTGTTTTTTTTTTAATTAGAAACATCACTAAATTAAACTAATTTGAATTCAAGTGATTTTTTATGTTTGTTGCAATTCAGATTTTTTATAAAATAAAGGAGATCAATAGGTTTTCACTATGTATTAGGATAGTCGTTTTTTTCTTTTAATACGTATTGATTTTTGTTTATAAAATGCAATGGATGTGTGTTTGTTTTTAAATAAAAGAAAACAAAAATATAGAATAAGAATTATTGCACATATTAAAATTAGTTAACTAAATGAGCTAAGCTAACAGTCTATTTTTTCTAAATTAAAAAAAAAGTAGAATGTGTAAATATGATATTCCTATTAGATTAGTTGTGTATATATAGTGTATTGATTATTTTTGGGGATTTGTTTTATATTATAGATACGGAGATTAAGCTTGTTACAATCGTATACTAAAGCTTTTTAAATGCAAACTCTTTGTTAAGTGATTAATAGTGAATGGGTATTTTTCTTTCTTTTGGATTAGAGAGGGTTATATGGTAAGGAACGAACGAATGTTTATAAATTAAAGAAATGATCATTATGTAAATCAGGCTTCAAATGATTTATCAGATTTAAATACATATTTAGCTTGCTGCGAATGAGTGTAAAGAAAAAGACTGTTGTCAAAATGAATGGTGTTGTCTATGCTACATTTCTTCTTTTTTAAAAAAAAAGAACTTTTCAACAGATCAGATTGTATGTAATCTCGAGTTAATACAACAGTGGTGTAGTTTTTTTAACGATATTCAATTGGTCTAATAACGCCAACCGATAAGAGGCATTGTTTTAAAGTCTCATAAATAAATTGTTTGCGATATAAAACTTATTGAGGGATAAATTGGCATGGAAAAAAGGCACAGTTCTACTATGATCAACCCTGGCTCATTCATAAAAAATAATCAAGACGCAATATAACAAGTCAAACCTCGGAAGAAGAGGTCTGTTCATTGCGCCTCGCCGTCCAGTCAATCATAATCAAGCAAGGCCTGCAAATTTATAGTTTTCTGTTTGTGTGGGATACCATGGGCAATTTAGAACGCATAGACCGTTATTGCTAATTTACTCACTATTTTTATTTATTTTTACTGCTATACGTTTGCACTCCTTTTTTCTTTCTTTTTCAGTATATATACAGGAAGATATGAAAAAAATGCAACCAACTTCAGACTGCTGTCATTTCTAAGCCACTCGTTCAACAGCTGTTAAAAATATTCCAGTGACAGCTCATTATATTGTTTACAAGCGCACAAACGCATTTTGGTGAGAATTTTCCAGAAAAAACTTATTCGTGATGGAATTGAAGCGTGATAGTGTGATTTCTTTATTTTTGGCTGGAAAACCACAAGTGGCTATCGTTAGAGTACTCCAGAGTTTAAATGTGAATAAATCTTTTGTGTCTCGTACCATCGCTCGTTACCGTGATAATGGAAGAAAACAGCAACATCAGCAGAAATGGTTCGAACAGTAAAGAAGCGACTTGATCGAAACCCGCATCGCAGTGGCCGAAAAATGGCTCGTAAGCTGAACATATCGCAATATTCCATTCGGAAATATTGAAAAATGAACTCTGGGTAAAGACAATGAAATGCCAAAAAGTGCAAAAACTTACACCGTAACAGGAAGAAAATAGACTCAAAAGAGCTAAAGAGTTGATTCGCGTTAAGAAAACATTCGTTGTCCAGCAGTTTGTAAACAAACAAGATGATCGTGTTTACTTGCCAAAGAGGTCAGCTGAAAATGTGCATTTTCGGTTGGCCGCCAAAACAGCCGGTGGTCGCTCTCCGCTCGTATTAGTCGACCGTGGCATCAGAAAAAATGCAACAGGACTCAGCACCATCGCACTCAGCACGCGCCACCCAAGAATGATTACAAAATGAGGTTCCTCGCTTAATTTCTAGTGCAAATAGCTACCAAAATCTCCGGATACCAATCCGTTGGGCTGTGTGTGTCTGAAGTATTTTGGAAAGCAAGGTTGACACTTAAAATACCAAAGTGTCGATCACCTCAAGCAAGCGCTTCGCCGGGAATGGGCCAAAATACCGCAGAGCAACATTCGGGCAGCGTGTGACGGTTTCATTGGATGTTTGAAGTCCATAATTCGTGCCAAAGGTCAGTAATTCGAACAAATTTGATCCTATTTCCGACATTTTTTGCTTTCATTCAATAAAATTTAAAAAATTGTAAAAGTTATGGCGTTTGGCTTTGTTGCAGTTTTTTTTACCTCACCCTGTATTTTTTTAAAATGAACACAATAAATAAACAATTGCTCCATATACCTATCATGTATATGAAGAAATTTTTAACATTGATTATTACAGGTTATTCAGTAATCTATTCTTCAGCCAAATCACTTCATTAAGGTTTTAAAATGTCAGCGGCTACAAAGAGAAAGCTCTATTCTAAGTCTCTCCCTATTTCCTTTAGTCTTTCGGCAGCTAAATATGAATAATAAAATATTGATTCAAGTTTTACACTATGAATTAAAAAAATATATCAAAATCCTGTATAATACAAAAACCAGAAAGCAATTTTAATGTCTACAAAACCTATAAACAAAATATTTACAAATAATAATTTAATTAATAAATAAAAATATAATAAATTACAAAAAAAAAAAAAACACGAGAACTATCAACCGGATTAACATTTCAATAAAAATATGTTTTTGTTAGAGAAAGAGATAGAGGCATTTGTTTGTTTGTTTATAAGATTCTATATATGCAAGTGGAATAAAAGATCTATTTAAATTTTCGTCGCATTAATAGTTTCTTTAGTATAGGCTACGTTTCCTCGCTTAAAGAACCAACACCAGCATCAGCAACGGCAACAGTTAAAGCAACCACATCATTAGACAGTAGATTTTGGCCGTTGTTAACGCCGCCACCACTGTTGCTGCTGCCAACACTTTGAGAAGAATTACTACTATTTGGCGAATTGGCCATTGAGGGTGGCGGCGATGATGCCGTTATGTGTTGGGTAATAGTTTGCTGTTGTTGTTGCTGCTGCTTATTAATATTACCATTACTAGATGATGTTATTTGAGATAAGTGAATGCTACCAACAATCTGCGGTTGTTGTTGCTGTTGATGTTTGTTTTTGTGTTGTTGTTGTTGTTGCAATGAAGCCACATTCAAAACATTCGCAACAGCTGCTGCAGTGGTTTTCTGCGTTAAACTTACATTATTTGGACTAATGGGAGTTAATGGAAGATGTTGCTGGGATGACGACGATGTCGACGAGGACGATGACAAGGTTGTCACCGATGATGACGACATTGTTGCTTGGGAATGAGATGACACCGACGTTATGGTTGCTGATGAAGCAGCCGATGATGTAGATGAGGAGGATTGTAAATGTTGTGGTTGTTGCTGCTGCTGTTCTATAATTAGAATATTGTTTTGTTTGTCCCGACGGATAGATTGTTAGTTGTGGGGTTAGTAGTTGTTGTGGTTGTTATATTAGAATTCCCATGATTCTGCATAGTTTTTTGCTGTTGCAAAATGTGTGTGGCATTCGTTAGGCTATTAAGCGCATTGGTAAGCGTTTGCTGTTGCTGCTGTTGTTGTGTGGTAAATGTCAACGTTGATTGATTCGTTTTTGTGGGCGATGTTGCCGGTGTCAGTATGCCTAAATTTACCAAATTTGGTAGAGTTATTTTGGTGGGCGTGTTTGTAACTGCCCCCAAAGTTTGTTGTTGTTGATGATGCTGTTGTTTAGTTATGTATTGATGTTGTTCCAGGAGCACATTGTTACCATTGTTATTGGCCGCAGCTGCAGCAGCAACATTTGTTGCTAATTTCAATATTTTACTAGCTGCTGCATTGGCGGCCAATAAATTTGTGGCGGCTGCTGTTTTAGTTACCGTTATACTGTTACCATTACTATTATTACCACTGTTATTGTTGTGATGATGAGAGCCAGTGGCGGCTTTCAAAGACACCAAATTGATGGTGTTGCGAATTAGATTATTGCTGTTACCTGTTGCTGCTGTAGCGTTTGCCAGGGTTGAGGAGTTTGCGGCTGCTGCTATGGTGTTGCTGTTATTGTTGAGTAGTGTTGTTCCAAGGCTGCCACCAACAGCGGCTGCAGTTACAATTTGTTGATGATTATTGGCAGTAGTATTAAATTGTTGCTGCTGCTGTTGTTGCGTCTGCTGTGATTGCTGCTGCTGCAAATTTAATGTTGCCGCTCCATTTCCATTAATGGCCTGAGCCAAACAATTAACCGTTTGCCCGGCATTTATATTACTGTGGTTGGTATTCGAGAAATGTTGTAATATATTTTGGCTACCGTTTCCACTGCCACCTCCGCCGCCACTGCCATGGCAACTGCTGGCCCCGCTAGACATATTACTAATACTTGAGGGGCTCAACGAGCCCAATGATTGAGATGGTGAGCTACTGCGTTGCATAAGTACACCAACACCACTGCCAGCGTTACCACCGCTAGCCGACAAAACATTTCCCAAAGCCGTTTGGGTTACCAATACATTTTCCGGCGACGAGTTATGGGCCACCAATGCATGACTTTTTAAACCCTGAGCGGTTTTGTAACTTTTGCCACAGTGACATTTGTATCCCTTGCGTACTCTGCAAAGAAATTCCATTAGATACTCTCCTAGTTCTCATCTCAGCACCCAGAATTCAACCCAACTTACTTGCCATCCTTTTTATGACCATTCTTTGAATGGTACTTAATTCCATTGACATTTTTGTAACGCTTCTTACATCCCGGAACAGGGCATGCAAATGGTTTTTCATTGCCTGGTGTGCCATTGCCGCCAGATCCGGAATGCCTTTTAGTTCAATTGGACAGTGACCAAGTCGAGGGTGGCAACATGACAACGATTTGACATGAAAACAATTACAAACATAGATAGAGAGATTTAAATAGACACAATTAAAAAACTAAAGATGCCGGCGGCATCATTGAGTGCCAATCCCACCTGCTGCCGTAGCGCATTATGAATTCAGAACTAAATTCTTCGGTTGTCCATGAATCATTGCTATCCTCCGACTCGGAAACAACCATTTCGTCTTCGTCCATTTCGCTGCCTGCAAAAGATAAAAAAAAACCGAAAATTAATATACTCCAATGTGCGAGACTTTTTAAAAAATATTTCTTTTTTTTAATTTTGTTAGCTCACCAGTTGGCGTATTACTGCGATTAGACGAAGACATACTATAACTGTGATGTTTAATCGCCAGTTTACGTTTGAGATCCGCAGCGCCGGCATTATTGGTCGTTAGGAAGGGACTTTCTTTGCGGGCATCATCCGAAATGAAACGTAGAACATAGCTCAACGGTAGGCAAGCAGGCTGAGCCTGTTCCTTTTGTTCCACCACTTTAGGGTCATAGTCTGCAATTGAAAGAAAGGAGAAAAATTAATGCTGTATGTGGTATTATCATAAGTCACAGGTTGCTTTTAATTTTGTGTAAACGTCCGTCGAAATATATGTTATAGGGCGATATGGAATATCCATTGTCTAGCATTAAAAATACTTTTTCTGGAAAGAGATCTAATATTCCATTTTTCCAGGCCAGGACAGTTTAATACATTATATTTTAATGTATGTATATGAAAGAAAGTGTGAAATACAGAGTGAGCGATCCTATTTGAAATTAATACCATTTTCATAGCATATCCGATCATTATTCCAAGTCGTTGATACAAAGAAAATTCTTTTATAGCTCCATTGCGGTGTTGAACTTAAGTATTCTATGCACGTCTTATATTTTGTATACGTTTGCTGTAATTGTACGAATCAGGAATACAGGTGAGTCATGGTTTAAAATAAGTTTAATGACCAGTTATTAACTTGCATGTGGTAAACGAAAAAAAAAAAAAAACAAACCAAATTGTGGGTCATTGTGTTTAGGAAGAGGTTATTGAATTTTAAAAAGCATTTGAAACGAATATTAAATATAACTTTAATTTTAGGTAATGTAAACGAGAACGTACAGGGTGAGATAAAAAAACTGCAACAAACTGCAAACGCAATATTTTTTACAATTTTCTTTTAATTTCATTGAAAGAAAGATTTGTCCGAATTGGTCAACTTTGGCACGAATTATGGCCTTCAAACGGAGAATTTGGTGCCCATTATGCGCTGGAAATTAAGCGAGGAATCTCATTGCCCAAGTTCTGTGGCCAAAATATTTGCGTGCCCAAGGCTTTAATACACCATCCCGAATATTTTTGCGATAATATTCGGCATTTATTCTGATGCCACGATCGATTAATACGAGCGGAGAGCGAACATCGGCAGTTATGGCGGCCCACACTATCACAATGGCCAGCGCTTAAGTTCTGGTGGCCAACCGAAGGTGCACATTTTCAGCTGACCTCTTTGGCAAGGAAACACGGTCATTTTGTTTATTTACAAATTGCTGGACAACGAATGTTTTCTCATCGGAGAAAACAAAATGCGGCAGTTCACCAATTTCGATCAAGCGAAACAACTCTTTAGCTCTTTGAGTCTATTTTCTTTCTGTTGCGGTGTAAGTTTCTGCACTTTTTGGAATTTCAATGGCTTTACCCCGGCATCATTTTTCAATATTTGCCGAATGGAATATTGCGATATGTTCAGTTTATGAGCCATTTTGGCCGCTGTGACGAGGGTTTCGATCAAGTCGCTTCTTTACTTTTCGAACCACTTCTGCTGATGTTGCTGTTTTCTTCCGTCCACTTACTTGACGTCGTGCTACGCTAAGGAGCGATGATACGAGACACCAAAGATTTATTCACATTTAAATGCTGGAGTGTTCTAACGATAGCCACATGTGGGTTTCCAGTCGAGTGGCTTAGAAATGACAGCAGTCTGAAGTTGGCTGCAGTTTTTTCATCTCACCCTGTATAACTCCCTATATTCAATATTTCCCATGGAATTGTTCCAAATATGGTATTAAGAGTTTGTAACGGGTTCTACTTCTGGTGGCAGAATATCGTCCGTATAGCTCCACGTTTTAGTATAGCGGCCATATAACGGAACCTCCTGATCATTTTTATTTTAACAGATAAAACCAACTTACACGGTTATGCTACTTCGTTCAGGTTGAACGAAAGCATAACAAGTGGAGAAAGATGTAAATGTTTATAATTGCGGTTGTAAGATTTAGAAGACTTTCCAAAAGAATTTTAGTTTTATTTAATTCTTTGGTTCCTCTTCTATTGAGCTTACGATCTCGTCACTTGGGTAAAAAATGTTTTTTGTCATAGAAGTTATTTTTAAAATAACTTCTGGGGAGAATATCCCAGACAAAACAAGGGAACTGATGAGGATTGGTGGCTCTTTCCGAAACCTAGGTATTCCCTCCCTTACCTCCTGGTAAACATTACCATCGTTCTCCACTAATAAACAAACGTTGTTTTTATAAAAACAACAATAAAGGGATAAAGCCTGACCATTTTGCAACAACAAAATAATAGATATAAATTCCTAAAATTCTTAGACAAAAGATCAAATTAGAAGGTAGGACAAAAATAGAACTCACTGCCAGCAACATTTATTTCTTTGGAAAACTGAAGCTATGACTGTCCATTGTTTTTTGAATACCATTGTGGTGATTGCCATCAAATGACATGGCCAAGCAAATCTGACAACAGCAGCAAAAAAGGATATTCAAATAAAAGCTATTGTCCATAATTTTACCTTATCTCTCTCCCGCAGCGTATAAAACACTCATGCACGCACCAAATCGTCATCAAAAATAAGATTAATGAAATTGTTAGGACATTTGTTAAAAAGGAAGAATACCAAAATGAAAATGATGAGAATAACAATAATAATAATATCCGTTTAGATCCTTCGCCAGTTTAATGCGTACATCATTTGTCCATTGTTAGGTTGTTTTTTACCGAACCCCCCCCCCACACCAAACCATCAGAGGTGGGGTGGTATGGGGGTCATGAGGGTGCTGAAAATATAACAGCTTTCATTTGCGTGTAACAAAACAGCAACACCAACAACATCGAAAAAACAAAGTCTGCGTACACTTACGATAACATTCAAATGTGATTATTCTCATATAAGTAGAACAAGTATGTGCCGACCCAAGTACTTTAGAGGATGTTTTTTTTTCTATGGCGTTATAGAAAGGTGGCAGCCTGGCGCAATGGTGGTGGTGGTGTTAGGTGGTTCGCTGTTGTTTAGGTGGTGGTATGTATATATTGATGAATACCAGTCATATCATCATCACTCATTAGATATTCTCTTATATAGGTATATATATATGTATGGTCTATGGTATCAAGTGTTTAGGTACATAAGAGTGCATGCATGTGTGCGTGGTGAACGTAAGGGTCTCTTGTGTACCCCACATGTACACCTATACATGTGTATGCACAATAAACGAGTTATTTGTGCGTTCTTAACACACATTAAACTCCGCTCAAAAAGAAAATTCAACCTTATTAACCGCAGCCGGCCTAGAATATTTTCCACCAGCTAATGTAGGGTAAAGGGTGGCCTAGCATACCAAACCAACCATCCCACAAACCAACCAAACGACGGACCACCTATTTTTTGTGAAAGATATTAAGTGAAAGTAAACATTAATTTATATGATATTCTTTTTTTACCAGATTAGGGAATATCTATGGGTATCTTTTGATAAGATAATTTAATGATAATGGTGGACGGAGAAAATCGTTGGTGGGATTGTTGGTAGCTAGGCAGGCAGATAACTGGGTTGGTTTGGTTTGGTTTGCTACGTTTTGGAGCTGTGCCGTTGCTCACGCAATGACGGCAACTAAGATGGTGATGTAAATGAGGACACTTATTTGGATAATTTAAAATAATTTACCTTTTCTGCTATTGTCGCTGTATGTTGTCATTTGTGTGAGTCTGACGAGGCGGCATGATTGACAATAAATGGTGGCAATGTTATTTTTGGCCTTATGTAGAATTTTCACATGTCTGTGTCAAGTATTTTTCCAAGTATTATATTGTTATGTTGAATAAATAAGCCTGGAAATTAGGCGCACACATTGCCGATTCCCACAATTTTATTTATAAATAGCAGCAAATTTGTAGTGAAAGAAAAATATCCTACCGCTGTCCAATTAGAATAAATAATTTGTTTGCGTAGATATATCACATCCTTTTTCCTTGAAGACCGCCCACCTTTCGATAGGAAATACTTACTTATGATCAACGTTAGTACTTTAGGAATATTGAAAATATAATGATTTCTAGTTATAAACTGTGTCGTAAAGTTTTCATTTTGCTGAAGAAATGAAATAAAAACAAGCAAGCAAAGGCTATAGAAGCGCGGGGCCGACCATGTGATACCCCACAACACTACAATATGTTGAAAGCCTCCTTATGTCCAAATCCATTTTGGAAGATTTCGCATTTGAAATGATGTCATGAGCCTTGCCCAGATGTCACCCTTAGTTTTTTGATCGCAGCCATTTGCCCAATATTTACGCATTTCCTCGCCGATAACCGTAAAAATTGGTAGGCTTCTGCCTAGCCATACACTCTAACTTCATGCAAAATTCCGCGTCGATTACTTTATAATTGCGACCTGTAGTGCAAAAGAAAAATCGGGAAATTTTTCTGTTTTGGTCCATTTTGACCCCTAAATACTTTGCGATCATCCCCAAAACAAAAGGCTTCTATTCTGGCTCTAGACCCACCTTCATTTTCAATTTCGAGAGAATTGGGCCATATTTGCGACCTGTAGCGTGATTAAAAATAATATGGACAGTCGGACGGAGGGACATACATAGCTAGATCGACTCAGCTCGTCGAGGCAGAAAGATCCATATCGGGGACCAATATTTCGAGGTCTTACATAATTTTTGGTCCAATCAAATTTAAAATACCCCAGCACATAGTGTTGTAGGGTATACAGGGTGAGCTAAAAACTGCAACCAACTTCAGACTGCTGTCATTTCTAAGCAACTGGTCCGATAGTTGTTACAATTATTCCAGTGACAGCTCATTATATTGTTTGCAAGCGTACAAAAGCATTTTGTTGAGAATTTTCCAGAAAAAAAAAAAATTATTCGTGATGAAATTCCAGCGTGATAGTGTGATTTCTTTGTAGGCCTTGGCCACGCAAGCATTTTGGCCGCACACCTTGGACATTCCAAGAGGCCTCAGCACCACCGCACTCAGCAGGCGCCACCCAAGAATGATTACAAAATGAGATTCCTCGCTTCATTTCCAGCGCACAATGGCCACCAAAATCTCCGGATACCAATCCGTTGGACTATTGTGTCTGGAGTATTTTGGAAAGCAAGGTTGGCACTAAAAAATATCAAATGCGTCGATCACCTCAAGCAAGTGCTTCGCCGGGAATGGGTCAAAATATGGCAGAGCAACATTCGGGCAGCCTGTGACGGTTTCATTGGCCGTTTGAAGTCCATTGTTCGTGCCAAAGGTTCGAACAAATCTAAACTTAATCTAAAATTTTATGCTATTTCCGATATTTTTTGCTTTCATTCAATAGAATTTAAAAAAAAATGTTAAAATTATGGCGTTTAACTTTGTTGCAGTTTTTTTATCTCACCCTGTATAATGCTAATTGAACACCTTTCTAAGTCGAAATCCTCCTTAAAACATCATTTTTTGGGGAAAGTTTCAAAGGGAGAATTATTCTACATCAAATTTCACTATGAGTTTTTGATTAAAAGAAGTTTATATACTTGAAATGTACCATAAAAAAGATCAGCAATGTTGGTCTCTAGAAACCCTGTTTTACTGTCGACAAATTTAGCACTTTTTCCCAATTCGCCGCCAAATAGTGTGTGATATTAAAGACAAATGCAACTCTAGTGTTTTAAAGTAGAACAATTGTATTTTTTTAACTTTTTGGGTCCACCAAGACCTAAGGTTTCTTAAATATTTTCTTCCGATCACATGTCCATGTTATAATAAAGATTTGTAAACAGTTGCTGGTTGTTAGAAAATGTGCTTATTAAACTTATTATTTGATATAAAGATTTGTTGCTGGGTTCCTGTCGATTTTTAAAAAGTCCATATTCAACTTAAAAATAACAAGATTTTTTAGTAATGAGATTTTTGGCGGGCTACCGTTTTTTTATTAAAAAAAAGTTAATTTTTAATGAAGATATTTGGTAAAATTTACAAATAAAAAATCGTTTTATAAATCCACAACTATTTCTAATTCATTCACTAATAATATTTTTGATATATTTCAGGATTATTGGTTTTTACTTAAAATATTGCACACCGACTTTGAGTATTGCTGATCAAATGGAAAATTTATACAAAATAACAAGTAAAAAAGCAGCTAAGTTCGGCCGGACCGAACTTTTAATACCCTCTACCATTTGGAAGGAACTTGAACATTTTTCAAAAAAAAACCAGTAAAGAAAGTCTTCAAGTCGGGCGGGGCCGACTTTATGATACCCTACACCACTTTGCTAATTAAGTAGAGCTCCACATAACAATTAAAAGTTTTTATGGGAGAATTCACTCATACACGCTATGATTACATTTATAATTTAAAGTTCAAAGGACTAAATATGCCGAAGCATTTGTATCTTTTAAATTCGGAATTGTATTGCCCATTTGGTGCACAATTAATTTAAAATCGGATAAAGATATATATGGGAGCTATATCCAAATCTGAACCGATCTCGATAAAATTTGGCAAAGATATTTCTGAGCTGTATTTGATATATTTCCCTGAATATCGTTGTTACGGAGTGCATATTACGGTTGTGGGTAACAAATATAACAAATCGGATGAACAGTATATGGGAGCTATATCTATATCTGAACCGATCTTCACCAAATTTGACATACTAGCTTCTAGACTCAATTCGGTCGTAAGTGCCATCCCATTGGACAAAGTGCCATCCAATAAAAGGTAAATCGGACGAAGTTATATATGGGAGCTATATCCAAATCTGAACCGATCTGAATTAAATTTAGCAAATGTATTTCTGAGCTTTATTTGATATATTTACCCAAATATTGTTGTTGCATAGTGCATATTACGGCGGCGGTGGATAAAAATAACAAATCGGGTGAACAATATATATGGGAGCTATAGCTATATCTGAACCGATTTCGATCAAATTTGGCATACATATTTTCAGGCCTAATTTGGTTGTATATGCAAAATTCCATACTATTCGGGCTGATATTACACGTTTGGTGGTTAATTAAAAGCAAATCGGACGAAGATATATATGGGAGCTATATCTAAATTTTGACCGATTATCTCCAATTTCAATAGGGTTCGTCCTTGGGCCAAACAAAAGATCTCTGCAAAATTTCATCTGGATCGGGCAATAAATGCGACCTGTACTTTGTTTACAAAAATACATGGACAGACGGACGGACGGACATGCATAAATCGACTCAGAATGTGATTCTATGCAGATCATCAAAAGGAACTATGGGTCTATCTCGTTTCCTTCTGCCTGTTACAAACAAATGCACAAGGACATAATACCCTGACCACCTTGTGGTGTAGGGTATAAAAACTTGAAGACGAGGACCTGCTTACGAAATTTTATCAAAGGCTATAG